ACAATATAGAGTCCACTATTATGAAAATTCATTTTTAATGCATGTATCTGGAGGCAGGGACAAAAACAGAGAGCATGGTAATACTTCCACCCTACACTTTGAATTCATATGTGTCTCTTAACCATCTCTACAAATCATTCATTTACCACATAGGAATGTCCCTCAAACATCAATTATCAACCAAGAAAAGTTTCTCAGATATGCAGATAGGATAATCATAAAGGCAAAAGGAATGCTGATGATATTGCTGTACAGAGTCCCAGAGATGTTTGTTTTATATAACTGAGCATTCTGCAACATTTCTCTTTTTCTGGTGTTGTCTTTACATTCCCCGTTTCAACATTTGTTGTCTTAGACCTGGATCAATACCTTGGCGTCAAACTAATATATCTCCTGTGCTTTTGTAATAGATACATATAGGCAAATTACACAAGAAATTAAATTTGACATTTTAGATTTAAACCTGGTACCCTAAGTTGCAACAGAACCATAACAAAAAAAAAATTTCCTGTAATGTATTTCTATGTATACCCATGACTTCGGTGATAGTAACAGCAGCATCAGCCAAGGTTACTGTTTGATATTTTCATAAAATCTAAAGCTTACTGAAGAACAGTGACAATCAGGAGCAATTCACACCATATATCTCACAGGGGGCAGAAAGGAGTCTAGCTCTCCTAGTGTATGTCAGACACTAACCTCTGAATTCAAATTTCTTTCTTACAGGGGATGCAACACTTCAAGACTAAGACAGGGTTTTCAAATCTTAATAGAGGAACAGTAGCTTAAGAAGCAGCTTGCTAAATCTTACAGCTGAGACAGGAGCAGAAGACTTTTAGCTATAATGCTGGGAATCATAAAATCCCTGCATTTGCTTATTTTCACAGACGCTGCCTGGTGAGAATGTGAGGAGCAGTCTGTCTAATCTGGCTGATTGTACAGTCAGGCTCTGGTTATAACCATGTCCAAATGAGACCTGGGATATAGCCAGAGCCTGACAGGCAAGAAACCACACTGCTGACACTTTTATTAGTGCTCCTGGGCTCTGATTGAAGGAGAGTGTGCATTCAAAATTGATCATGAAAAAGGAGAGTGATCTCTATTCCAGCAATGGACACAAATTCTGTGGTAACCTAGAGATCTCATTCACAGACGCTTATTCATTCCTGTCTCCCACATGAGTGTGTTCTGCAGCAGAAGGGGAGAAATTGAATATCTATGTGAGGGAAAATGTAATTTTCCCTGGGTCTGACTTCGATTATCAAAAGGAAAAATTTCACAAGTAGGGGAAGATCCTATATCCATCTTCCAGAGCCTACATCCTGGCTATCTACATGAAAGTGTCCATTTCTTCCAGAAGTTGGCTTATTATGAATCTTTACTGCAAATTGTTTTTTTTTTGTTCTGTCATTTTCTGATGTGCCATGTCAGATTCCAAACATACAATGTTTAAATGCTTAAACTTCATCAATTATCCAATATATGTGAGAACCTGAAATGACTTGTATGTGTTGTAAGTGAACCGGTCATATTCATCCTTTCTCTAAACATCTTCAATTTGTATAGTGTATCCAACAGTGTCCACTGACTAAGCAATAACTTGAGACATTCATTTCAGAAAGAAAGATTCTTAACACTTGTATACATTCAGAAATTACACATTAGAACTTATGATTTAATGTGTTGTTACACAAATGTCTTCAGGCATTTGCATTACTTTTAAATTACCTAGCCCAATCAAACTAGCAAAATATTCTGTTTAATGTTAATGTTAGAATATTGAAATTTAGAAAAAAATCACATCTACAAAGCGAAGCTGTAGTACCTCCAGAAGCAGGATCCTACTTGCTGCATAGGACTCAGGATCAGGTGATATGGAACTATAATGATGGGAATCGGGCAATTCCCGCCTTTGCTGCATTTCACCTGCTACGACTCCTGAATATGTAAGCAGCATTCTGCCCAGTCTGGGTGCTTGATCAGTGGGGCTCTGGTTATACCCAGGTCCTACTGAGACCTGGACTATAGCCAGAGCCCCACTGGAAAGAACCTGCATTTGTGACGCTTTTATAAGCACTCCTGGGCTCTGATTGAAGGAATTTGGGCATTCAAATTGAGCATGAATTAAGGACCAATGAGGAGAGTGATCTCAGTTGCAGCAAATAAGGCAAATACTGTGGTAATCATGGAGATCTCGGTCGGAGCTGCTGATTCATTCTTATCCTGACCGGAAGTTATTTTGCAGCTAAAGCTGAGAAATTGAAATGGGATGTGAGGGAAAAATTTGATTCCCCTGGGTTCGGACTCAAAAATCAACAAAACACCTGTGGCCAGTATGGTCCAATCCTTTATCTGATACCATTGTCTCCATCCAGGCTATGTACTTGAAAGCTGAAATTTCTGACTGTAGGTGGGTGATTATGAATCTTTGCTGTCAATTGCTTCTATGTGCTGTCATTTGTGTTATGCCTTTTCTGTTCCCCACGTATCTTTAAATGCTTACGTTTTATCAGTTATCCAATATATGAGTGCCTGAAGTGACATGCTTGTTTGCAAGTGGAAATGTTATTTTCCCATTCTCTGAAAGTCCGCAGTTTTCATAACGTATGCAACAGTGTCCTGATGATAAAGAATAATCTGATGCATTACTTTTAAAAGGAAATATTCATAATACTTGTATACATTTAGAAATTGGACGTTTGTTCATAAAATACTAGTTGTGGTTCCACAATGTATGGATGCATTTGACTTTAATTTGATTTTACATAGCCACATCATACTCGTAAAATATTCTGTTTCTGTTTCATACTAATGTGACACTATAGAAATTTAGAAAAAAAAACTCACATCTTGAAAGAGAAGCAGTACCTTCAAAATGAGAATCCTACGTGCTTCACAGAACACAGAATCAGGTAATTTCGAGGTATAAGGCTGAGAATCAAACAATGCCTGCCTTTACTGCTATTCACAGCTCTGACTCTTGCAAAACTGAGGAGATGTCTGTCTAGTCTGGGCAAAAATACAGCTGGGCTTTGGTTATAGCAGGTTCTACTGTGAGACCTGGACTATAGCCAGAGCCCGACTGGAAAGAACCCACACTGCTATCGCTTTTATTATCACTCCTGGGCTCTGATGGAAGAACTTTGTGCATTCAAAATGAGCAGGAAATAAGGACCAATGTAAGGAGCAACTCAATTTCAGCAATTAAGAGAAATCGTGAAGTAACCTTGGAGATCACTGTCTTAGATGCTTATTGATTTTTTTTTTACTCTCACCTATGTGTGTGCTGCAGAAGAAGAAGTGAAATTGAAAGTGAATGAGAGGAGAAAATATCACTTACCCTGGGCTGTGACTCTAATTGATAAATTGAAAAAGAAGAACTTCTGGCAAATAACGCTTCATCCTGTATTTGGCTGCTGGGGCACAGTACCTGGCCACCTACCTGACAGACTGGAGCCTTCTTTTATGTTTTCTGGCTAACAATTACACTTGTTGGTCTAATTTTCTGATTTGCCAAGTAAACCTCCCCAATGATTAAATGCTTGACTGTTAGCTTTCTTCATATACATTTAAATTTTTTCTCTGTCTAGACAACTATACATATTTTTATAGATATGTGTATATATATATATATTTATATATGTATAAACATTTGTACCTCACAGACATAAATATGATTGTGTGTCCTGAATGAGATGCTTGTATTGTGAGTGGAAACAAAGAACTGTCAAGCCCTGCTCTGAACATTTTTCAATTGTCAAACTGTATGCAACAATGTCATGAAAATTAAAAAAAATAATATGAGGTATTAATTTAGAAAGAAATATTCATATTGCATGCATAAACTCAACAACTGTTTATTTGCTTTTAAGATTTCTTTGTGGCTACACACATGTCTGTATGCATATGGCATTAATTGTGGTTTCAAAGAGCCAGTTTATACATATAACATATTTATTTCAGTATTAATATGTGAAAAAGGACATTATTAAACAATTCACTACCTTTTCTTCACAAGAATTAAAATAATTTCTCTAAATTCAATACTCTCTCCTTAGTACATACGCTTACTTTGTATTTTGTGACATCTGTGTTCGGGTAAATTGTTTGTGTGCGTGGTTATGGAATATATTACTAGCACACTGTCATGGCCTGAGGGGCTGTGAGGAAATCTGTCTTTCCCCTTGCATCATCTGATTAAATAACATAAATTACCCTGATAATGTATAGGTTATAAGACTCTTACAGAGGATATAGGAATGTTCCACTGTTTTCATACTGATAGAATTATGCATGCAAAATTTCTTGGTGATAATTTGTCGGTGTTAAGTGAAAGTTTCCTGAAATATGCATCACAAACTAGTTGCATGCAATGGTATATTAGCAATGTCAGAATGCCAGTGTTTCTAAGGGTATGGAAGTAGCCAATCATAATAGGCAATCTCATAATTCGTAAGAACTCAGAGTTCTTATTTCTATGCTCCTTAGCCTGAGATAAAATTGTAATGATTGTTTATTGATTTTTTTATTACATGAATTCTTATAACAGTCAACAGTGGTTATTATTTCCTACCATGCACGTTGCTGATATAGCTATGCAAGATATTGTGTCGACTCTAAATTACCAAGCAAAAATAATAGGAGATATTAAGCAGAGAACCACAGATATTCCTTTTATGCAGCTAAATATTTTCCTACTTTTCTATTTCTGAGGTTATTTTTTGCAGTTTTCCACTTTCAGCCATGCTGACAGTATAGTCTAAATTAATGGGAGTAATCTCCTGCATTTGAATAATATGACCAACTCCATTAGATGGAAGAAATACCACACACACACACACAGTACAAGTGTCCAAGAATTAGAGACTACAATGGTCAAAGGCCTAAACAAAACTATGTCTATCATTCTGATAGAGGAAAACAGAGGCTGAATAATAAAATGTCCTGCGGAGATGGGGAGAGAACACGAAACACAAACAAACCCACGTGTATAAGTTTATTAAGAAGATCTGTGCCGAGGAGCTCGGGGAGTGGTGAACAGATCGGGTGAAAGAGGCCGTGGGAATGGTGCTTTTAGCTTTTAAAGGTTTCCTAGCACATGCGCATGAGGGGAAAGATGTTGATGATGGCTGATGCTACGCCCTGCGCCTGCTCACAGGGGCTTCTACGTCAGATGCTGGTGAGGCAGATGGAGAGCGACTCAGGCATGAAGACGTGCCCACTTCACACGCTGATGACGAGCAATGCTTTGCCTTGTGCCTGCTGATGGGGGCCTCTACGTCAGATGCTGGTGACACAGATGGCAGGTGACCCACACATGTGCACAGGGGGTACATGCACCGGCTTCAGAACCTGGAAGTGCAGCGTTACATATTGCTAAAGGAATTACATTTCACTCCTCTGTTTATTATAAAAATTTCAGGGGGGGGGAATTAAGGTTCTTAATGCGTAGGGAATGGAGGCGCAGCCAGGTCCCCCATAATTGCTTCCTGCTGACTTCGTGGGCATCGAGTGGTTTGGGGTGTCTGATGCATCCTGTCTGGTCACATTCCGTCCACCGGTGTCCTGGAGTGGCTGATTAAGACTGCATTTCTTCGGGCTTTGAGGAACTGGAGTCATCTGATGGCTTGGACCTCGTAAGATGCTGGAAAGACAAAAAATATGTTTAGGAGAAGAAAAATTAGATTAATAAAGGGGAGGTTTAAGATGAAGGGGGCTTAAGGGTTTCCGAGACCAGGAATTACAGAGAAAGAATTAAATGATGGATGGGGGTTTAGGGATTCCCAAGACGAGGAATGATAAAAAATTAAATGATACTTAGTCTGCCTGAGTCTGGTCCATTCAGGTGGGTCAAACTGGCTCTCTGGAGATGAAAAAAAATGTCTTAAAAAGAAATAAATTCGGGGCTGGAGAGATGGCTCAGTGGTTAAGAGCAGTCACTGCTCTTCCAGAGGTCCTGAGTTCAATTCCCAGCAACCACAATGTGGCTCACAACCATCTGTAATGAGGTCTGGTGCCCTCTTCTGGCCTGAAGGCATATACACAGACAGAATATTGCATACATAATAAATAAATAAATCTTAAAAAAAAGAAAAGAAATAAATTCTAGATATATTAACCATCCGTGATTACTATGTTGGAGTGTATTATGGCATTATCTCAACGTCCAGGAGACACTGCTGCAGTCAGCGATGAACCTGTTATGTTCAAGAACCTGCTAAGGTTTTGCTTACCACCTGGGCCTTTGACAATCCTTGTACCTTTGCTTTGGCTCTATGTCTGATGATGATTCCTGTAACAACAGCTGAGTGGTTATTTGGAAATTTAAGCATGACATTGGAGGTATATGGAGAAGTTGTATATAGGAAAAGGAGGAGAAGGGTGAGTGTATTGGCACAAGGGAGTTAAATAGGGATGGGACTCTTATTTTCCTTGAACTGGAGTAAGGGAGGCTGAACTTTGTGTCCTCTGGAATCTGAGGGAACCGGGTTCTGTCTGAGTTACTGTGTATGAGTAGTCATCTTGAGCTGGAGGAGTAAACGGTTTAAGATATGACAGGTGAATACAATGAGGAATTCCCTCGAGCTTGGCAGCTGTGGGAGTCAAAAGAATTACTCTGAGGGGACCTTGCCATTTAAGGGAAAAGGGTGAGGGACTTTGACCTGGGGGAGAAAATAGTACCTGATCTCCTATTTTAATCAGTGGTGGGCATGGGTTAGCAAATGGTCGAGGTTATGAGTGGTCGGTAAAATACCACAGTACAGAGTGTAGGTGATATAGTAGGGGAGTAAGCAGGTGATCAGGAAGGGAGAGGTTTTAGGTGAGAGGCTGGGGGTAAAACTGGCCACCCATACATGAGTTCGAAGGATGAGATGAAAATAGGGCTTTTGGGGAGAGCCCTAAGCTTAAGGAGGGCCAGAGGCAAGGGTTTTACCCAGTCAAGGTGAAGTTCCTGTGACATTTTAACCATTCTACTTTCCCTGAAGACTGAGGGTGGTATGGGATATCAAAATGCCAGGGAATGTTCAGAGCCGTTGACAAGTTTTAGGAAATCTGGGAGGTGAACTCAGAGCCATTATCTGACTGAAGAGAGGTTAGGATTCCAAACCAGGGAATGATTTCTCAGAGAAGAACATCAGAGACTGACTGGGCTGTCTTATTAGTGGTGGGAAATGCTTCAACCCACCCAGACATTGTATCCACCAAGACCAGGAGATATTTAACTCTTTTGACTGTGGGCATTTGAGTAAAATCCAGCTGCAAGTCAGTTCCTGAAAGGGAGCCCCTGGCCTGGTGGGTAGGAAAAGGGAAGCTATGGTATTTGGTCTTGGGCTCTGACTTTTGGCAGATCTGACAGGAGGCAGTGATAGCCTTTAGGAATTTTATATCCTCTGGGATGGGTTGGAGGTGAGCCTTAACAAAATGAAGTAGAGCTTTGTTATTAGGATGAAAAAGCTAATGTAGGTAGGACAGGATCTGTTGGGTGTCAGGAGGTGTCTGTGAGAATTTGGGCTGTACTGTAAGGGAGTACTGTAAAGACTCCCTAGGGTGACTGAGGTAAATCTGGGCTTTGGAATGCTGCTGTCTGAGCTACTCGGTCAGCCCAATTATTTCCCTTGGAAATAATAGAACTGTCAGTCTGAGGAGACCGACATTGAATAATTCCTATAGCTTTGGGGAGATGGGAGGCTTTTTAACAAGTCCATAATGTAACCTGAGTTAGTTATGGATCCTCCTTTTGTCCTAAGAATCCCTCGCTGCTTACAGATAGCTGTGTGGGACAGCAGGATATGAAAGGCATATTTGGAGTCTGTGTAAACATTTAAAGATTGTCCCTTCACTAGCTGAATGGCACGGGTGAGAACTATCAGCTCAGCCTGTTGATTAGTGGTATGCGCAGGGAGTGCCTGTGCCTACACTATCTCAGTATCTGATACTATGGCATAGCCTGCTCTACTGGTCCCTTCATATAAAAAGGAGCTTCCATCTGTATACCAGGTATAAGTGGCCTGGGACAGTTTATCCTCATGTATATGTGAGGGGTGGGGCAGTAGGTCCTCTAGGACCTCAATGCAGGAGTAAGATGGGGAATCATTAACATTAGGTTGAGGTAGGAGATTTGAGATATTAAGGGGTGGGCAGCAAAGAAAAGTGAGTGTGGCAAATTCTACCAGTGCCACTTGGAGAAAAAGAACTTGTGAAGAGGGTAGGGTTTGTAAGCCTTTGAAAGTTAAGAGGTGGGGCAGATTGTGGTGGGAGAAGACAGTGGTGGGTGCCTAAATGGTTCGTTTCTTTGATACATGAAGAAGAAGCTCAGCAGCTACCAAGGTGTGTATGCAGGGTGCCCAGCCCCGAGTGGTGAGGGCCATCTTCTTTGAAAGGTATGCTACAGGTGCAAAAGAAGGTCCCAGGTGATGTCCTAAGGCCCCAAGAGCATATCCCTCCTGCTCTGCTACATAAAGAGAAAAAGGGCGAGCTAAATCCGGAGGATGAAGAGCTGGAGCCTGGGTAAGGGTTTGTTGGAGTCTCTGGAAGGGTTTGGTAACAGGATGGAGAAAAGGCTCATGCAGAGAGCTGAGAGCTGCTTCATATAGGGGGCAGGCGAGGGAAGAAAAGGAGGGGATCCAGCAATGCAGGAAACCAGCCATACCCAGGAACAATAAAACCTCTTCTTTGGTGGAAGGAACTGCAAGAGATTGAATTAGTTTTATTTCTGTCTAGAGTGATAGCCTTTTGGGTAGGGGTTATAGTTAATCCTAAATAAATGACCTGAGTGGTAGACAGTTGAACCTTAGAAGGTGAGACTCTATAGCTCCTTTTAGATAGGAAATTTAAAAAGGTGGAGGTATCAATCTTGCTGATCTCCAATGAAGTGAAGGGCTGCAAAGTAAAATAACGTCCACATATTGTATGAGTTTGGATTTAGAGAGAGACAGTGAGAGCAGGTAAGAGGCCAAAGCCTGGCCAAACAGGTGTTGACTGTCCCAGAATCCCTGGGGAAGGACAGTACAGGTGAGCTGTGGGGAAAAATTGGTGTCAGGATCAGTCCAGGTGAAGGCAAAGATGTTTTGAAATTGGGGGCTGAGAGGAATAGAGAAAAAGGCATCTTTGAGGTCTAGAACTAAGAAGTGGGAGGTTTCTTGAGGAATATTAGATAGAAGGGTAAAAGGATTAGGGAAGACAAGAAGAAGAGAAACAACAGCAGAGTTAATGAGCCAGAGGTCTTGAACCAGACAATAAGTTCCATTAGATTTTTTAACAGCAAGTATAGAGGTATTAAAAGGACAAGAGGTGGGGCAAAGCAGCTTTTTCCTAAAAAAAATCACAAATAATACGTGTAAGTCCCTTAAGGCTCTGGAAAGAGAGAATGTACTGAGCTTGGGTAATATATTTCATAGGAACCTGTAATTGAATAACAATAGGGGAATGGTGTTTAGCGAAGGAGGTGTTTTGGGTGTCCCAGACCTGGGGGGGGTCCACCTGGGAGGCTCATAGAGGAAAAGACCATTAGTGTCAGAAGTTTGGGGAGCTAGGAGAAGGAGGAGTGGCGCTACTGGTGAGTCTGGAGTAAGGTGAATGGGAGGAGGCTCCTACCTTTGTTAAAAAATCCCTTCCCATGAGAAGTACTGGACAAGTTGGCATAACTAAAAATGAATGAATGAGATAAATGCCTCTAAACACACAATTGAGTGGTGAAGTCTGTAGAGATAAATAAGGCTGCCCCCTACCTCAACAATAGGGGAGCTAGAAGGAGAGGTAGGCCACCAAAATTCCCTCAGAACCAAGTATGTTGCTCCAGTATCCAAGAGGAAGGAAATGAGCCATCCAGATATTGTAATAAATACCTGTGGCTCCTGTTTACAGATGGCAGTGATCATCGGGTTAAGGGAGCCCTAGGAACCTTCAATCATCCAGGACCAAGCCCAATTTGAGTCACGGCACCAATAAAATGTCCTGTGGAGATAGAGAGAGAGCACAAGACACAAACAAACCCATGTGTATAAGTTTATTAAGAAGATCTGTGCAGACGAGCTCGGGGAGTGGTGAACAGAAGGGGTGGAAGAGGCCGTGGGAATGGTGCCCATAGCTTTTAAAGTTTTCCCAGGGTATGTGTGTGAGGAAAAGACATATCTACATCAGATGCTAATGACAGGCAACGCTATGCCCTGTGCCTGCGCTTGGGGGCTTCTATGTCAGATGCTGGTGACACAGATGGCCAGCGACTTGCACATGTGCACCTGGGATACATGGGCTTGCCACTAACCCGGAAGTGATGTCTTCCGGGTGGCTAAGGAATTCCAAATGATATACCCATAGATCAGTACATAATTGTCTCTAACATGAAATTCTTTTATATATTTATATCTTTATGTATTGAATGGTAAATAAAACAATAATGGGCAGCATGGATTATTTTTAAAATAGATAAGACACTTTTGTGGGACTGTGTTACAATGGTAGTTGTCTTCAAATACCTTACTGATCTATATTTTAAACGAAGAGAGAAAAATTCTGTCACATTCACAGGAGGTAGATGAATCATCACACCAGTGTCTTCCTGCCTCAATTTACTCTCTATCATTGGTATTCCAAGGCTGACGTACCAGACACAAGTCATGCACAGGATAAACATGTACAAAAGCACCAGAAGCATTAACAGAGAAATCTGGTGTGTTAATTTACTTTCATGGCAATTATGTAACACTAGTCTATCACTAACAGTAAGAAATAGAGTTCTAATAAAGCTCATGACTGGCCAGATGGTATAGAGAAGAATGTGCTGTCAAGAAAGATAAAAAATGTAGTAGAGTTAGTATATTACAATCTGAACATGAAATGCAAACAAGATTGCAGAGTTGAACCTGTGTCCCTAATAACAGAAGGTTTGCAACAAGTACATGTCCTGTAAAATAATTTCTGGATCACCATTGCATGGGGAAAGGTGGATGACATCTGGAAAAATGTTCCCTTGATATTTTCATAGACTCTAGTGGTTGACAATAAACATTGGCCATGCCATAGAACTCCTACAGTGGATATTCTTAGTGTATGTAGAAACAAACATCAAACATCTGCAAATATATATATATATATATGTATGTATATATATGTATATATATATATTTCTTACTAAAGACACAGCTCTTCAATGCTGAGACAGGGATAGAACATCTTAAAGAGAAAGTGTCAGGAAGCTACTTGCTGCACCGCAGGCAGCAGCAGGTGCTCTAATCCTGGGAATCTAATAATTGCTGCCTTTGTGAAATTCTCTGGCTTCTGACTCAGGCATAGGTCAAAAGCAGGGTGCTTTATCTGGGTCAAAGATTGTGGGACTTTGCTTATACCCAGGTCCAACTGAGACCTGGACAATTGACGGAGCCTGGCTAGTAAGAACCCACACTGCTGACACTTTTAGCACTCCTGTCCTCTGATTGAGGAAGTGTGGGCACTCAAATTGAGCACAACATAAGAACCAATAAGGATGTCATTCCTAGTCATGGAGACAAATTTTGCTATGTTCTTAGAGCTATCCATGAGAGCAGCTAATTCATTCCTGTCTCCAAAGAAATGTATTTTGTAGCTGAAGCTGTGAAACTTAAATTAAAAGTTTGAGAAAATATAATTTGCTCAGGACTTTGGCTTCAATTATCAAAATGAAAAACTATACTCTGGCCAATGGGGGTAGTCCTCTAACCAGCTGTCTGGTCTAACAACCTGAAAATCTACATGAAATATTTATATTTGTGTGTATGTATGTATGTATGCATACATGCTATCTCGAGAAGAAATGTGTGTGCTCTAGTGGAAATGTTTCTTACTCCCCCTGCACTGCTCATTCCTATGTGACATCTGAGTATTATGGTTTTTAAGTAATAATCTGATGTCTTCCTTTTAGAAAGAATTATTCACGATACACACATATTCTGAATAATTGCACATTTCTTTGAAAAAGTATGTTTCTACACTTGTCGGCATGCGGTTGACAAATTATACATTTGATAATTTTGGTGTCATAGAGCTAATTAATACTTGTAAAATGTTCTGTGCAGTGGTAATATGTTCATATTGAAAATTTGAACCAATTCACTACATTCTTATCATGGGAATTTCTCTCCAATCACCAGTCCATCCTTAATATATTTACTTACTCTCTTTTCTGTGACAGGTTTTCATGTAAATCAGCTGTATGTGCCTGCATATGGGGCCTCATACTATCACATTGGCATTCTCTCAGGTCTAGCATAGCTTAGAAAATTTGCCTTTCCATATTTATCAGCTGTTTAAACACCTAAGTAACACTAATAATGTTTTGGATTCAGTATTCTTTCACAGATTAATTAGAATATGCCAGGAGTTTTATAGTGAAATGGTTATGTATAAAAAAGCTTTCTTTCTTGATTAATAGAAATGTATAATTCAAAGGAGAGCAAATTTTACCCATTATAGTAACCAAGCATGGATTTCTCATAGTTCCTATTATGGAATCAACCTAGAATAGATTTCCTTGGCTTATATACTCACAGATTCTCCAGTGGCTACATCAGTCAGTGTTGATTTGCATAGACAACTTGTAGGATAGGTAATATGGATACTCAAGGGATCTTATGATGCTTCCTGACATTGGTGAATGGATGGAAACTATCCACAAGACCAAGGACTCTACTTATTTCCCAGATGGGTCTCATGATTGCCCCAAGATTACAGTCATTTACCTTGGAAGAGAAAACTAAATAACACCATCATGCATCCCTTCAGCACATCAAATCTCTCAACTTCCATCTTTGGCCTTAAAATAAGGTCTGTTCTTTACAGGGAGCCTTTGAGCTCTTGAAGGTACATCATAATCATTTCAAAATTCTTCAGCTATATTGGGTTATTGCAAGGCAAATAATTTTTAAAACGCTCTTGTCTCTGTTGTAGTAGTATTTAAAATTCTGGAGGCATAGGATTATAGTAGATATATTTAAAAATTAGATGATTGGCAGAACGGTAGTTAAAATTCCTTAGACAACATTGGTATTTGTGGTAGAATTTCAGAGAAAAAAAAGTGGTAAAACATTTTAAAAGTGTATTGTAATGTGTTATGAACATGTTTAAGAATCTTCATTATTACTATGATACTAACATCAAATGGAAGAACAATGTACAGGAATTACTTCTATTATTTAGTTTACCTTCTTATCATTTTTTGATATGTTAGAATGTATGTGAAGAATTAAATTGATTAGGAATGGAACCTTGAGCCATTCTATTTCTATCCCCTAGAGCTTGTTAGCAAAACTCTCCTTCATGATCTTATACTGATAAAATTTATTGATCATGCTCCCTCTGCACTCCTGTTATGCACATACTACTTGTGCCCTTGGCAACATCTCCTTCAGGTACCTGCATTGAGGTTCATAAAGAGTGGCTATTCAAAGGTGATAAGTCATTGATATCCTAGGGCAGGGTTGCCTTGCAAATGCCTACATTTTGTATCAAGAATCTCTCTATCTCAAAAAAAAAAGAATCTCTCTAGAATCTCTCTATCTCCATAGTTGATGAAATTCCTGTTAACTTCAGTAATGATTTCATGTAATCTCTCATTAAAAATGCATCAAAGCCTCTCCTCTTTGATGATCCCACCTGATTTCTCTGCATGTTTCTCTTGTTTAAAACTTTCTCTCATGATTAAGTAATATAATTTGATAATGAATATGTATATTATTTTTGCAGTTCTTGCTGAAAAATTGGTAGCACAGTGAGCAAACAGCATTGGATAAATTACCACATTATTAATAAACATGCCTTCCACTACAGTTATTTATCATAGATGTCTTCTACAAACTTCTTGCCAGGGATTTCAGCTTCATCATAAGGCTTGAGCACAGATTCGATTTCTTCCAGAGGAAATCGGACTCGGCAACTATTGTGTCACCTTGGCCTTCTAGCACCTGAGGTGCACTTCTTTTTCTTGTGGTGCATTCTCTAATCTCCAATGAGATATTTTTATATCACCATTGGGAGGACAATTTATAAATTAGAGTTTCATATTATTATGAGGGAGAAGTTTGATCCTCAGGCAAGAGTATTGTGACCCTACTTGCTCTTCTATGTGGGGATGGACAGACTCTTCAAGAATACCTGAGAGGAGCTTTCCTTAGTTGGCCCAGATAAACTCTCTAAGATGTGAGTTGTATGGTTGAGAAGATTGTCCTGTGTAAATCACCTGCTCATATCTGTGGGGAACAATTCAAATTATCAGGCAAACTGCGAGCAAAGATTTCCCCTGCCACACAGATTTGCATTTGGTGATTGTTTCCTTACTGTTGCAGCTGGTAGGAGGATTTCCTGGGAGAGAGTTGCTAACTCTTCATAACTAGACCTGTTACTTGTGTTACGTGGCACAGTGTGTATGATTAGCCAACAGAATATAGTTTCATACAACTCACTAGTGTTGTAGAATATTACCTTAAGATGTGTTACATTGATTTATGATGTGGACTATTTAATGACACAAAGATATATTGCATTCTTTAAGTGGCATTTGTTGAATGTTATAAAGCAGTTTTCCCTCAACTGCCAAAATATCAGAATTCGTTGAATAAAAGAGCTGAACACACACAACCTATGCTGGTAAGGAAAATTGGCAGGGTTGTGAGACAGAGATAATAAATAAGAGTAGAACTCTAGGGAAGAGGAGAGGAGTCATTTATTCTCATGTAAAAATCACTATACATGTCTTTATTTGAGAGCTGTGTCATAGGAACCCAAAGCAGGAAAAATAAAACACTACATACAGAAATTTGAAAATTAATCACTAAGTTAAAATGACATTTGTTGTACATTCATGATTATACTGTTAGGGAAAGTTCAGCTTGTCTGTGCCACAGGATATAGAACAATAAGCAAAGGTGTAAATCCCCAGTGAGTAATGTGGTAGAAAAACAAAGCTTTCAGCATGAAGAAAAAGA